TACAGTACAAAAATCAAATGGCGTGGCGCAGTGTGTCGCAGGGCAAAACTAAAGTGGCGCACAGTGCAAACTCAAAATGCGTGTGCCACCACTTTAGTTTTGCACTGCGCCTAGTGACTTTTGCACTGTGCCACTTGACTTTTGCACTGCGATTTACATCTCCCTGATTGTAGTTTGTCCTTTTGGCAATATCCAAAAGGACAAACTACAATCGCAGCGCAAAAGTCAAGTGGCACAGTGCAAAAGTCAAGTGGCGCAGTGAAAAACTAAAGTGTTGGCACACACATTTTGAGTTTGCAATTTACCACTTCAGTTTTGCGCTGCGCCACTTCAGTTTTGCACCGTGCCACTGCACTACGACTGACTTTTGCACTGCGCCACTTGTAATTGTCCTTTTGGCGTTCCATAATAATGCAGATAAGAAATGTAGACCAACAATAAAAAAGCAAGCCTGAACCCACCGATGGCTAAATAGGTTTATACTGACTGTATAAGCCTTGGCCATCTTCAATTTAAAATAGCAATATACTCTTGTAGTAAATAACTATTGAAGTAGTGGTAGAAAAACTATGATACTCTCCTGGATGATGAATGACAACATCGATCATGAATGACAACGGGATAAGATAAATGACGTGCCCTAAATTTCAGCCAATCAAATTGCAACAACCACCAGCCACCTCCTTAGGCACACCCACTTTATTACTCCAGACACGTCCACACGTACCGTACCGAAGCCTGGGAGAGGATCAAGGAAATCGTGAATCGGGCCCGGAAGTAGCTTTTTTAAAAACCGTGCACGAGGTACGTAAAATGAACACCTTTTTTCTATTTTGGGGTTTCTACCTACTTTTTTTCCAGTTTATGAATCATTTAAATGCGTTAGTGTACCTGACTGACTTTCATCTGTTTTTGCCTGTACTATAGGCCTAGGCCTAATAATCCAATTTTATTCCATTGCCAGGCACCCCTGAAAGCCGCAGTCTGCTTTTCATCGGCTAGCCAGGCCAACTGTACCACCAGCAGTACACAGCTAGATTGCTAATTCCCGGACCGGTACCTTGCCGAGGCAAAGCGTAGGCCTAGCCTAAATCAAGACTCCCAAACACATTTCGTTTGTAGCCGGTATACGATAAACAATTTACCAGTATGGTAGACACACAAGTCAAAGTACAGGTAAATATTGGCTATACAATAATAATATTCGCTAGCCAAGCTAGCTAAGCAGTAGGCCTAAGTAAGTTGAGGATAGGCCTAGGCTATATAAGAATGCTGTAATACCTATCTAGGCCTAGCCCCCAGTAAGTTGCAATATGTGCACATATGGATCCTTCTTTCTAAGTGATAGCGTGGTCCAGGCCTGAATGGCATTAATCAATCAAGAGCATGCCATAAAATAAAAATATTTTCTCTCTTCTATTTACTTTTTCTGGGATTGCAGCAACTGGATTTAATTTATTTTTAACTGTATTTTTATTGTAATTTCTCAATTTTAAATATTTAATTAATTGGTTGATTGCTTGTGTTCTTGTCCCCTTCAATTTCTAATTACCTTAAAAATCTTTAATTTAAATAATACTTTAAACAAATTCTGTTTAAAGCTGTTTAATTGTTAATTGCCTTTTTATTCTTCATATTTTAATTGTGCCTTTTATCAATTTTGTATGGTTTAATTGTTGAATTTTAACTCTCAAGCCAAAATTACAAAAATTATAATATAATAATATTTTTTTCTGTTCTGTTCTGGAATGCTATAAGTCAAAAGTGATTTCACTGTTGCGTCCATCGTTAGAAAATGCTCTACAGGCCTATATAAGGCTTATAGGCACCAGTGGTTTTATGAAATTTATAATCCACTGTGAAATTTTTTCTTCTATTTTGGCTTATGTATAGTGATTAAAAAAAAAGTTCTCTTTCAGAGATTTGGTGCACAATGTTTAAGTTACTAGCATTATAGGACATTAGTATATTTAATCCTCTGTTCCTTGATGTTCACTAATGTGTTGTGCTCTAATTCTTCAAGTTAGTACCTTTATTCATTCAGGGATTTTGTAAGTTTTTATGTGAGAGGACTCCCTTGAAAATCAGCCATGCTGAGTGGGACGTCCTTGTTAGATATTAATAATGAAAGAAAAATCTTGAATACATAAAAAATCTCGTACTCGGTTAATAATACAATACATATTCAGTAACCATTGAAAAATATATCTATTTTGCGAATACTTATTGGATAAACTGATATAAACAAGATTCTATTGGAAGTTACCTGTGAAAATTAATGGAATCGTCTAATTTAGGCGTAGACCAACAACATTGCTTCTGATGTGTGTGAATTACCATTTGATTATTTTGACCCTTGCAACTCGACATGCTGTTATCAATTTTACTTTTGGGAGGAGTATTTTGGACCATGAATCATTAATTTCCATAGACTCTAGTTTCCATGATGACTATCTACACTAAGGAAGCTTGATCCTGAAACTCGGCATAGAAAAAGAAAATTTGAAAGAAAACTCAAGCATTAGAGTGTTGTAGAGGATTTGTTGGTTTTCAGTAATCAGCCTTTGTTTGATGAAATGCCCATTGTTAAATATGTTTGGAGTTCTGTATATTTTGAGTTGACAAGTATATTTAGTGTTTGAGCATTATTATTTTTAGAGTAGTTTAACAATTTCCACCTAACAACTTTCAGAGCAGCATCTAGTACAAAGCAGTTTAAAACGGGTAGTAACCAGTATGTGTGTGTGATGAACCATGGTGGTCTTTGTGTCCCATTTACAGTACAGGTATATTACAGTATAATAAATTAAATTACTCCAACTAAAAGTTCTAAATGTAAAAAAAAAATTTTAACATTTGCCTACATGATAATTTGAAATCCATATTTAGAATCACAAAAAATAAAAAAATATAATAAACCACAATTATTGAAAATGATGCAGCATTATTCCTACCCACATTTACTATACTGTTTTGAATTGCATATCAGATTATATTTTGATAATGATTGTACAATAAACCACAACAATAAAAAGGAAATACAGCTACGTCATTAACTTTACATATTGCCATATTTCCTAGTTCCAATTATGCATATCAGCATAAATTTTCCTTTAGTATAAACACTTTCATGCCATTTAATGTGGAATAGATGAGAGAATGATTGTAAATTCTCAATAAATTTCCAGGGTTGGGGATTAGGTAATGCAAACATTTTTTTGGAATACTGTACACCCTTGTAGATATTCCGTTGAATACAGGTTAGCACACTGTGTTTTGCATGAGACATTTATGCCATTCTTCCTGTCCTAGTGTACTGCTGCAAAAAATTACCCATGTGGTTGGCACCTGCAATTTGGCCTAGTCCAGAAGCATATTTATGTGGTGGGGGTGCTGATGAGGACATGAAGGTAAAGTGGGGGGGGGGGTGGCTTGGTGATTAAGCCCTAGCTCGCAAAGTAAGGTGATTTTTTACTATTTGAGCATTAGTTTTTTTGCTTCAAACATTTTCAATTGGGGAGATTGGCATAGAGGGCGCAAATTTGTTTAGTGGGCGTGGCCCCTCGCACACCCCTAGATACATCACTGGCCCAGTCCAGTTCCTTAGTCAACCACTGTAGGTTGTATTAAACAGCCCATCAGGCTTAGACGATAAAATAATAAAAAGAATAAGAAACAAACAATAACAAATCCTATGCTTAATATTAAACCTCTTTATCAAGGTGAGTGTTATCTCATAGATAAAATGATAACCTTTGCACAGCATTTTGGAGGCCTGCCTTTAGAAGTACAAACAACAGTGTGCTACAATTGTAGAGGTGCGAATGTACAAGGCCATACAGCATTCACTTCTATTACTAAGCAAGGTTTTTTTTTTGTGCCTTTTTTTTGTGCCTTGTTAATATGGAATGCCAAAAGGACAACTTTCAAACACAGTTGATTTTCAAGCACACTCGGTTTTCCAGGCACAGCCGGTTAACATACGCGGTCGATTTTCAGCTTCCCAATGAGTTACAGTAAAACTTTGCATTAGCTATCCTAGACCAATGCTGTCTCATCTCGTTTTAGTGTTTTATAAATATATTTATGTTACGAAAAATGCTCATTTTAGTGGTTTATAAATATTTTTATGTTATGAAAATGATATGAAACTGCTATCAAAACCTGTACCTGAAGTACCACTGCATTTCTGACATTACGTAAAGAAAATAACTGAGCGAGATAACATGCAACATGAAGCTTTTTTTCTTTTAGTGGTCCTATTGTTATTTTTATCAAAACTAATCACAACGTTCACATACTAGAGAGTAAGCGATTGAAGCGAGTGCACTCTCTAATAGATATAAATAATGCAATATGGTGATGTAAACAAACCCGTAATTGGACTGATTGTAAGTTAATTATTATATATTGTGTAAATGATTAAAATGTAATTGTATGTTTTTTATATTATTAATATTATAAGTTAATTATTAATATATAAATATTTTGTGTATGTACATCAGAATGAAAAAATTGAAAACCACATTTACTTTTTACATTTTTTCTAATATTTATATTTTTTTTCAGTTGGTAAATGTTTTACAAAATTTTTTCAACAGCAAAAGGATTGGGTTATTGCAGGTGGAAAGTGGAAGAGGTCGTCAGATCTCCCACTTCATCGAAGTCAGAGTGTAGAATTCTCGGTAGTAGCAGTTGATAGTCTCTTCATATCATGCTTTTGAATGCAGTGCGTACATTCAACTGTCTTCATACTCGTTTTATTTTATTCTTTTTCCGAAATGGTCATTTTACAATATTGCGTCTTACACTTTCAATGTCATAGGTTTTTGGCACTGATCATGGGCATAAGAGGCGGGGGTTCAGTCACTCCCAGTTGTTTTTGATTCCTTGAAGGAAAATAACAGACAAAAAATTATGTTTAAGAGAAATTTTATGAAAATTTTTGAAATTACCATTCTCAAATGATTAAGAGATCTTAATGTCCAAAAAACATAGTTACGCAAATATTTTGTGTTTTATTTAACATCCATCAGTGGAAAACAACTACAGTATTTTCAGCTGTACTAAAAGCTTTGATGGTCTTCATTTATTCTTGACTAAAATGTGTGATATGAATGTTTTATTCTTCTAAAGATATGATAATTAATGTTTTTACTTAGCCCTGGATTAGACAAGCTTTCTTCAGATAATGTATTTAATTCTTTATTGAGTAACTGGCAAGCCTAATATTGTACCTGTCAACACGCTAAGTGCATGTTCTTCATTCTCGATGTATCATGTATCTGAAATCCCTAGCAAACTGCAGTGTCATTATCAGATTTGTGTTTTCACAGTCATGTAATTGATTTATCATCAGAACAGCTCCAACACATCTATTCATCATTATATTTTGCTGATTCAAAAATGAAGCAATCTACAGTACATTATTCTTTCATTTGGTTACCATATTAATTTGAATAAATGCCCTGCTGCATATTATGTTTTAAAAGAGGGAGGGTTTTCAGTTAGGGGAGGACATATATATTTACAGTGTAAAATGAATATGTAATATACTCAAATAAATGCACTATATATCATGAGGTTTAATTACTGACACCAGTGATCATCTATGCGAGTAAAATTTTGCTTTTCATTAGTTGCTATTTACAATGACACATATAACACATTCGTAGTGGGTAGTTATTCAAATGCTGTTTTTTTAATTGTAGCCGATTGTATTCAAAGCTGGGTGTTTATTTGCATAAATGTATTTGTGTTTGACTTTCTTCAAGATCATTGTCTCCCATTATCAGCATTTATGATGATGTCATCGTTCAATATTTCAATATGGTATTTTCGAATGGCGAATCGCCATCTCTTACTCTTTTTAAAAAACAACTGAAATCACATCTCTTTGACTCAGCTTACTCAATAATTTATCGGCCATTTTATTTAATTATTATTTTTTTCTTGAGTGGGTCGTTTCCAGGTGTTGTAAGGGAATGGGTTGGCCCGGTGATCCTGTGAATTATGTTTCCTCTGGGTCGGTCGGCTGGCCCTCAAAGTGCGGAAGAACAGCACACTGACTCTTCCCTAACGGCACGGTCTCGCACCCACTTTGCTTGCTTTCTTCACTTTCATTGGTCTTTTTTTATTGGCGCATAGAGACTGCTGTATTATGCGCCATATAAAATCCATTGATTGATTGATTGATTGATTGGTTTCCTACTTAAGCATTACTATTATCACTGCCTACGTAATGGCTGATGTGAGTAGCCATTTGGAATGTTTTATAATTTTTCATTTCTTTAATATTATAAGTAAGTACTTGCCTATTACAGCATAGCTTTATATGATGCTGTAATAACAAAGTCTCATTATATAAATACTTAGGCAAAACTTTTTTTTATACCTTGTTTAGCGAACCCTCTGACCGCCAAAAATGGTAATTTTGAATTTAATTGTATAGATTTAAAGGATTTATCAATATTATTACTGCACTGTTTAATTCATTATTACAATTTTATTTTTATTTTCTCTGCCTAGGTGGTTTTGGCAAAATCATTTTGCTAAATGGAAAAACTTTATTTTAATTTTTCTTACCGCCCGCCTCTTATGATCTTAAAAAAAAACAATAAGTTCTCAAGTATAAAATAGTCATGCCTTTAGAGAATAAATTTTCGTCCATTATCGTACATACAGAACTTTAATTTATTTTTCATTTTGGTTGTTTTATCATATTTTAAGATCGATTCTCTTCTGGAATCTCTACACTTGAGTGAGGATAACCTTCGCGATATTATGCATAGATTGGATCGTGAGATGGTGAAAGGATTAGAAGCAGCGACCAATGCTACGGCTAAGGTTAAAATGTTCCCAACTTATGTGAGATCAATCCCAGATGGCTCAGGTATGATTCATTATGACAATAGTAGTAATAATAATGCTAATAATAGCTTTAATAATTATCATCGATTGATATGAATGTTCATATTCAAGTATAATAATACTATTAAAAAAAAACCTAAATATTATATTTCATTTTAATTATTCTCCTCATCATTATGTAAGAAAAATAGGAAGATAAAATCAAAGAAAAAAGGGGCTAGCTTCCCAAAAAGAGTTTCATGGCCTCTGCCGAGTGGGTCGCCAAAATAATATACTACATATTGCAAAAACAGTAATTTTAATGATGTTTAATTGTTTAATAACACTCTCTAGAATACCAATTTTGATTGTTTTTGAGTGGTTAAACTATTCTTGAGGTTAGCCCTCACTATATTTTATGATTGGCTTAAAATTTACAAAATGATCCTTCTATGTTTGTCTAAAATTTAACCGTCCTGTGCTACCATCCTATAATTGGATGTGGTGTATCCTCATTTAGACCTGCACACACTGTCTAGCAGTAATGAATCACGGTGATGACAACGTGCAAAACCAACTTTAAACCTGGATTGGCAGGCGTGTATCCAGGTAGTACGATGGGTGCATAAGTCTCCACCCAAATCGGAGACTATCTACATTTTTAAGACAGTTGAGAATGTACCGAATATAAAATTTGTTATTTTCTGTAAAAAATATTTTATTTAAAGGGAATCTTAATCTTTACATTATATCCTGCAATCTATTATTAGGCATTTGGGCATTAAAGTTGTCATAGTAATGAAAACTCAAAGCTGCGATCCAACCAGCTCTGCCCCACTGACCTCATTTGGTCCATTTTTTTGCATCCCCTACAATGGCAATCCTGGAGATGGCCTTTGATTAGTAATTCAATAAAAGCAAATACTACTCAAGTCAAACCTGTGCCTCTTTACAATATGGTTCAATACTGTACACAAAGGTTCTCAACCAAAATTGTTCATTGAATAAATTTGAAGGGCCATGGCAAGAGGTGTGATAATAAACTATGGCACGTTATAGCGCCATCCAAGCCCCACAGGAGCGAGCCGGGGAGGGTTTGTACCCAAATTAAAAATTTTTTGAAAATAATAAGCCGCTAGACGCTTATACAGGGCATCTGGACCTAAGAAAGTTACCCTAATTGTGTTTGGTAATGCAAATGTAAAGATATTATATATCACACAATGGGTCATCGGATACAGTACAGTATTTCTTTGCTACCTACTGCTTCCGATTTGATTGATTAAATTGCTACAGTTTATATTATAGGCCTATACAGTATATAGGCCTAGGCCCAGTATATAGGCCTTGTCGGCAAAACAGAATGCAAAAGTATTAAAGTTAGAAATCTAGGCTCTAACGGAAAAATATTATTTTCGGCTTGTTCTCGCGGGCCGCATAACACGCGCGGGTCGCCATTGATCTATTATAACAATCTGTTACATGTCAAATCGTTATAACATCTAATTTCTTATATGTTAAATCTTTATACCATATATCAGTCTGTTTGAACTGTCATATTTTTTTTTTTTTTTACTCCAGAGCATGGAAGCTTTCTTGCCCTTGATCTCGGTGGTAGTAACTTTCGAGTCCTTTTGGTGGACCTACTGGATGGTGGTGTCAAGTTACAGAGCGAAACGTTTGCACTTTCAAAAGATATAATGACAGGTACCGGTGACCAGGTGAGATTGAATAGATATTAGGCAACTTTTGATTGCATGACGACGGAAGGACGTAGAATGTAATGACCTCATCGTGTGGATTCTATGACGCAATTTTGCCAAATTTTCGTATGCAGGGAATATCCTGGTAGGATGGTCACGCATGAGTGATTCCATTCTCGCGTGGCGTTGTAACACAAATTGAAAGCTCACTATTATCTATCAACAGTAGTCTGTTGCCAAAATGAATTTTAAGCTTCCCTAATGAGCGATTAATGTTTGCATTGTGTGGCGCGGTGAATGCAATTGTGATTACCACTCTGTATTCTGTGGTGCGGTGAATGCTATTTTGATTACCACTCTGCATTGTGTGGTGCGGTGAATGCGATTGTGATTACCACTTTGTGATGCACTGAATAATGATCATTTCACACACACTGAAACTGACGTTAAAGATATGTTAATGTCTACCTTCAAAAACATTATTTAAATGCTAAACCTATTTAAATTTTTTTTTACCTTCAAATTGAAAACTTTTTTTTAACTGTACTTTTTGTCTGTGTTGTAATCTCATTTTTTATTTTTTCATTTCAAGTTAAGTTACTTGTATCATTTTGTATTATATGTATTTTGTTTTTAACTGAACCACTTTGGAAATCTGTACATTTGTATTGAAAGTGCATTTTAGGACAAAGAATAAATAATAAATAAATAAATGATAGACCAAAACAAAGACTGCCAAATGACAGGTATACCGTACTATTTTTCTCTAGCTGAATAAATAGATTTTTTTAAACTTTTGACTTTGTATAGTCAGTCTTTTTCTAAGGTTGACTATATTTTTTAATTGCCTTTGTTAAAGGCCTATAAATGTGTCTCCCTCCTCATCTATTTGAAATGCTTATGCACTTGGATTGAATTACTCTACTATTGTTATCAAACAAACATTTACTTAATAATCCCATAGTACCAAGCTGTTGGAAGGAGATTGCCTTACTGATACAAGCTCGTGTTATCAGGCTATACTGTATGCCTGTTGGCTTTTTCACATGGCGATAATACTAGCTTGTTGCAATGCTGTTTTGATGGCCATGAGCACTGAATGGTGGACACGTCCCAGCACTATAGAAGTCTCCAGAAAAATTATTAATTATTATTTGCACTATAATACTCCATGCCCCGAAAGTATTCAAAAAATTAATGATTTCAATTTTTTAAATTTAAAGTCTTCTTATGCCAAATAAAAATAGATATTTCTTGACAAAAATGAAAAATATGGGAAAATATATGGGACTCTAACTGGGGCAATGATGTAATTTCTAACTATTGTATTTTTTTTTTATTGCTTCCTATGCTGCCTTAAACCCTGTCCACACTATCACATTTTCTTGGGCAAAAAACTGTTGTATGCCCATATATAGTCATGATGTGCCTATATATGGTCATGACATGAGGTCATCATGACCATTTTTAATCATGTCACATGATTTTGTCAAATATAATTTGATAGTCTGGCCGGGGCTTTAGATATGCCACTAATTCTGCCCTGATGTCACTTGGTCTTGTACCGACTTTGCTTGCTTTACTTCATTGGTCTTGTATTTTTATTGGTGCATAGAATCCATTGATTGATTGATAATTCTAGCACCATCAGCAACTCAGATGATTTTTCTTGATACTTACCTTTGTTTTTTGTTTTCTTTTCTTAATTTCTTGAAGCTGTTTGATTATATAGCCGAGTGTCTAGGAAACTTCAAAGTAAAAATGGGGATTAAGGAAAAGTTGCCGCTGGGATTCACCTTCTCCTTCCCCTGTTCCCAGAAGGGTTTGACTTCAGGTGAGACTGGCTAGCATTATGATAAATAATTATGAACAAAATGATGGGACTGATGATGAAGTTGAAGGCTGATGTTTAGTCTCTCCCGATTTGATCTCACAAGTTTTCATGCAGTCTCTTGGTCTAGAGAAATTTTGTCAAATTAAAAAACCCCACCCCCCTCCCCCCCCAAAAAAAGGTATTAGTTGCTGATTTGGTTTGCATAATTTTGAATTCTCTCCAAATATGTTTGTGTGCTGACTTTATCAACAATGTCAGCACACAATGACTAAAAAAAAAAAAACTCCTCACAATAATCAAATACAATCGGCCTAAGGGCCTACTCAGACAATCTTGAAAAGAATTATATCTTTCGAGGTGCCCTTCACCTCCTTTCACCTGAATTTTGAGCTCCAGAATTTGGGATGTCTGTAGAGGCGCTGAATCAATTTGGGGGAGATAATGATATTAATTTTGGAGATTTTGATATTGATGATCATGTTGGGGATGAGTTTAGCAACAGAAACATTAAGTCAATGTCATGTACTGTAGGCCTAGTTTGGTGTCAGTGTGTTTGGACCACTTTAAGTTGACAGTGGCCAACCATAAAGTAAAATCATATTGTGTATACCTGGAATCGGCATATTCTCTTGAATTTCTGTGTAAAGCAATGTAGCACTCGGGTGTGTTTTGGTACGAATACCCAATAGCTCTGATGACTGAATCAGTGAACTAACCTCACTTGTATTTTCTTGCTGGCAGCATTCCTTGTGACATGGACTAAAGGTTTCTCTGCATCAGGTGTTGAGAACAAAGATGTTGTCGTGTTGCTGCAACAAGCATGCACCAGGAAGGTATGATAAAAATTTAAATATTCAACAATATTAACAAGAATTAGAATTAATTTGTGTGTTAATATTTTGGAGGTTTTGTTTCAGAGTATGTTTTGATTATTTTAATGACAGAATGTTGAGTTGGATATTGTTGCAGTTGTGAACGACACAGTTGGTACATTGATGTCATGCGCCTACACTAATCCAAATTGCTACATTGGAATGATTCTTGGTTAGTACATTGTGGCTTTCCTTCACTACTAATTTAAATATCAGGTTAATGCACTTTGCATTGTTTGCTAGTTACAGTTATGTTGAGCACAGATTTGCTTTGCACTCAAATTGCATTTGAGAAACCACATCCATTAGAGGGGATGAGGTTGTGTTTCTGTGGTGTAATAGTTAGAATTCACAGCAATAGCATAGAGACCAGAGTTCTAAGTGTTGGATTGGATTGGATTTATTTGGTGTAAACACCAAGGATAGCCCACGAAAGTCTAGAAGAAGACTTATATCCAGTGGAGTCCTTCTGGTGGTGATTAGGCAGTACACCGGGAGACAATCCCCTACTTTTTTCCCGAAGAGTATACTGTGTTCTTTAACGTGCACATGGGCCATAAATGAACAACGACTTAAACGCGTCTCATCCGAAAGACGGTGTACTATTGTAACTTGTATTTCAGCCCTCCAGCTGAAACACAAGTAGAGGCAGTGATGGGAATTGAACCGGGGACCTAGAGATCTCCGTTGCACACACAGTGGCTACCACCAGATTAGCCGACTCAGCTAAGTTGCTCTCTGCTACTGCTGTTCTTGTAAACATTACTGAATTGATCTAGTGGTAGACACTTTTTTTAAATCAAACTTAATCATTCTGTTTCCATTATGTTATTCAATTCATATGAAGTGTAGGTGTCTGTCCAATTAAATTGGGGCAGGGGTTTCCATGGTTTTTAGCAGCTTTGATCTCTAACTAGAGATTAGTTAGATCACAGAAAAGTGGTCTTTAATTGAAGGTGGTTTTTAATTGGAGGGATCTTTAGAGAGAGACCTGTACTGTATATCCTAATTCAGGGGTCAGAGGGCAAAAGTGAATTTTTGATTTAACACAGAGGGCTGCACCCAAACTTTAATGTTTCCAGTCCGTTTCCAAAAACCTTCATGCACTGCTTTTATACCGCTTTACGCTCAGTTTTAATACCACTATTTACTTATCGATGTCATGCTGTAAAAAGCAAGGTGTTTTCTAATACAAATTTTTTTTCGCAATATGAATGCTCTTATTATCATTACCCAAACATGGTTGCCAGGCCACACATAGGCTTTTTAATTAATTTTCATGGGCTGCAAAATAATCACTTGTCAGGCCGCACTTTGCCTACCTGTGTTTTAATTCAATCAAACATATAGTATTGGGAATGGTAATGGTACATGCTGTGTACTAGTATGGGATTTTTCTTTTTTATCTCAGGTACGGGTACCAATACCTGCTATATGGAAGAGCTCGATAATGTGGAATTATGGGATGGAGATGATAAAAAGCCAAGGCAGGTGATAATCAACATGGAGTGGGGTGCATTTGGTGATGATGGGGTCCTAGATGATGTACGAACAGAGTTTGATAAAAAAACGGATGAACTAACACCAAACAAAGGAAAACAACTGTAAGTTACTGTAATGGATTTATAATATTAACTGCTATTGCTATTTTAATAGTAATAATAATAATAATAATTGGATGCAAAAGTATTATTATTACTTGTTTCATAAATTTATTTCTCTATAATTATATTGTTATTAATGTTAATCTTTTATTATTATTATTATTTTTATTATTAATTATTATTATTATTAATTATTTTATTATTATTATTATTATATTATTATTGTTGTTTATTTATGTTGTTGCCATTATCATTGTTTCTGTGGTAGGAATCTTGTACAGGGACATGTTCCTTTTTTGTCTACCAGACTCATTACGTTTTGAGTGAAATAAAATTATGAATGTTATTATTTTGAGATTTTCTTTTATGTTGATCCAAAAAGAAAAATTATAAATGATTCACATACAAATCGCTCACAAAATGTAGTATGTGAATATATATTTTCTCTTTAGGGATCAACAGTTTTATTATTTTTATTGTTACTGCTGTTGTTCTTGTACTATTCTCAATGCATTTATTTTGTTTAAATTTAGTAGAAATATTTAACTAGCCTAGTGTAAATTGTAATAAATATTTGTAATATGTAATGACCTATTAAATGTTAACAACCAATCTATGGTGTAGTCATAGCCATTATATGCTCCGTCAACTAGTTTAGCACCTTGTGTAAATTTCAGATAATGTAATATTTGACCTGATGTTAATTTAGTTGCATGAACATTTTGCGCATTGTAGCATATTCAACTCCGCCGTTCTTCCTTCAGGTATGAGAAGATGATATCAGGCATGTATCTGGGTGAGATAACACGCCAAGCAATGTTAAAACTAGCAGATCACAAGATGCTGTTTCAAGGAAAGGTTTCTGACAAACTTAATGAGCCATGGAAGTTTGAAACACGATTCCTGTCTGACATCGAAGGGTAAAGTACATTTTCTCAAATTATCTTTAACTAGAAAATTTGGACTAGACCCAAAAAGCACTTTAGCGGCAGTGACACAACTCCCTCAATATTGCATTGTATCAAGTTATCTCCTCTCCCTTCCTATAGTAAAATTTTCAGTTTTTTCATTTTTTGATTTGCTCTCCTATACAAACAAGTCCCTAATCATTATTAAATAGTCATTCAGGTGTTATAGGCCCACTGCTACATAGAGCACTATGTATATCATGGATGGATAGATTTATTCGATTTAAACACCAAAGGATTAACCCACGAAAATATGAAGAAGACTTATTTCCTTCTTGTGGTGATTGGGCAGTACCCTACTCTTTTCCGAAGAGTGTACTGCATTCCTTAACATGCACATGGGCCATAATGCACACCGGACCAACGTCTCATCCGAAAGACGGTGCGCTATTGTAACTTGCATTTCAGCCCTCCAGCTGAAATACAAGAAGAGCAGTAATGGAAATTGAAACTGGGACCATGAAGAGATCTCCACGGTTCAGTATACACAATGGCTACCACCAGTTTAGCCGACTGAGCTAAGCTGCTGTCGTGGATGTGTACATGTGTTATGATGTGATCAATAGTCTGGGCTCGAAGCACGAAAAAAAAATTGGTTTGGAAATTTCAACTCCAATCTTAAAATCCAGATTTTATTATATGCATTATCTCATGGCTATGCTGAAAAATAGCATGTACTCTTCTAATATATGCTTTGTATATAAAGTTTCATTACTACTATCTAGTGATGACTTCATTTTTATGATTATGAACTAATAAAAGTACAAACATACAGTACCCATTAGTTGTCCCCATTGTATAAAATATAAATTGCATACAGCAGCCAATTGGTTAACGCCCTGTTCGCATGATGTTAGAGGGGTAGTTTGCTAAATGTTACCCAGCTAAACTTACTACAATATCCATAAGCAGATAACCGTCATTTCACACGATCAAATTCAACCCGTTACATACTTTTTATTGGCCTTATTATCAATGCTACTTTAAGCTGTAGATCTGTTTTTAAATTTTGGTTTTATTAGGTTTCAAAATGTGTTCATGTGTTCACATTCGTTCCATACAGAAAAAATATATTCATCCTCTTTGTTTTGTCATTGTTGCCTTCTATTGGTGTTGTCTGAAATGGTTTAGAATGTTGTGGTAGTTTTTTAAGTAAAAATTACTGACAATAAGAAGAAAAAGAACTGACTGTATATATTTGTAAATTTCAAGAATTTGTTTCATAATGTTTTTCTCAGTATTTAAGTATAGTATATAGCCTAACATTAATTTATATATTATCTATCTGTATTAAGTGATTAAACAATTATGCATCTGTAAGTGATTAAACCATTATCGTTTTGTTTTCTTTATACAAAAGTGATACCGGTGAAAGTTTAACCAAGGTAGCGGAAATTTTGAAGGGCCTTGATGTTAAATATAACCAGCAGGATCTCCACATTGTAAATCTAGTCTGCCAGGCTGTCTCATCTCGTGCCGCCAAGCTAGCGTCAGCTGGTGTAGCGTCAGTTGCCAACAAGATCAACAGGGATAAAATCACTGTCGGAATCGATGGCTCCCTTTACAAAAAACATCCAAAGTTCCATGATCACATGGTGAATTTCCTCGAAAAATTGGCACCAAAGAAAAAAGTTTCATTTATGCTTTCAGAGGATGGTAGTGGTAAAGGTGCAGCCTTAGTAGCTGCTGTTGCCTCCCGAGTATAAAACATGTAAAATTCTACAATTCATTTCAGTTATTTTTTTTTTTTTCTTATATAGACGATATATAGTAATGATGTGTCTAAATATGGTCATGATATGATGTCATCATGACCATATTTAGGCATGTGACATGTTTTTCTTATGTAATATTTGATAGTCAAGACAGGACCTTAAATAGTAAACAGAAAATAGCGAAAAGATCTGCATGGAAATATATAGGTAGAAATAGAATCAATATAAGATAATAAGTCATATTGTACAATTACCAAATAATAATACGATTTTGTGTAATTTTAGAATTTATATCCTCCAAGTAAATAATACAATTTTATATTGCTCATACCAAAGAGTATAAATAGAACAAGAGAGCCAACAACGCTCATTGAGAGCGTAAAAAAACGATACGCTCTACGCAGCTAGTGTAGGACGCCAACTAACGCTTGTATGTGTTTTATTACCCAGTACTCCACCGCGCACGGTAGGTTTGTCTTTATCTGTTCTCCACAAGATACTGTACTTTTGTTTTCTGCTTACTGAGTTTATAGCGGGCGTACTTCTACCGCGCTGCGCAGCGCTGCACTGGGTAATAAAAAGAATATACAACCGTTAGTGGGCGTCCTACACAGGCATGACGTTTTTACGAACGGGACTTAGCTCTCTTGTTATACTCTTTGCTCATACATAAGCCTAAGTCTCATTTTGAGGCCTCTAGTATTAGATATATTAGAACATTTATGAGACTAAGTACATTACCTCTGACAAATTTGTAGAAAAATAATTAAAAGAAAAAAAAAAGATATTGTTACTGTTTTACTTGATATAGCCACCAGATAAACTGAATCAATCCATGCAAAGGGGATTAGGATGTAGACCTCCTATTGTAACCTAAATTTAGATACAATTCTACTATTATAATAGAACATAGTAATTTAGTGTGTATAT